TTTTTGAAACAGCTCTTGTTACCCAGGCTGGAGTGCAATGTAATGGCACTATCTCGGCTCACCGCAACCTCCGCCTTCCAGGTTCAAGCAATTCTCCTGCCTCAGCCTCCTGAGTAGCTGGGATTATAGGACCCACCACCACACCTGGCTAATTTTTGTATTTTTGGTAGAGACGGGGTTTCACCATGTTGGCCAGGCTGATCTTGAACTCCTGACCTCAGGTGATCCACTTGCCTCGGCCTCCCAAAGTGCTGGGATTACAGGCATGAGCCACCATGCCGGGCCAGCATCCAGGTTTTAACAGTAGCTCTGCTGTTGTCTGGCTGCAGGAATCTTCTACGCAACATTTCAAACCTATGAGCCTTAGTTTCTCCAAGTGGAAATGGAGGAGCATGGTCATCAGCAAAAGAAGGCTAGTGTGGAGGACAGATAATGAGAAATGCTAAACCCTTAAAATGACCAACTCCTCTGCTTTAAACAGTTGCTTTGCAGAGTGTAAGAGCCTGAGCTCCCGGTCAGACAGGCTGGGTTTCTATCCAAGCTCTGCTTTGACCAATGTGCGACTCTGGGCAGTTTGATTCACCTATGGCTGTTTGTCATCAAGATTCAATGGTAGGCGCCAGCACTGCACTAAGCACTTGGCGTGTAAGTGCTCAGAAAGTGTTAGCTGTTTCTATCAAGATTGCTCACATGGCCCGCTGAGATAGCAACAGAACTCCCCATACCATCACTGTGGGTGCTGGAGCAGGATGCTCAGATCCCCTTCAGGATGAAGGACCTCTTTCCCAGCTGCTGGAAGACAGTCCCCAGCTGGAGGTCCCCTCCAGGATTTACCCAGGGAAAGCCCAGGTCACATCAGCCTCACGGGGTGGGCTGCATCCAATGACAGGCCAGCATGCAGGCATCGAGGATGGCACTCCTACCCCAGCTGGGGAGCCCTGAAGGGCCACCTCATTGCAGAAGGACATCACAAGTCGCCTTCTCCCTCTGCCCTCTCCTGATCAAGAGCACTTCTGGATAAACCTCCCAGTTGCTCATCTCATCCTGGAGAACCAACCTGCAAAAACTGCTCGCTCCCTCCCCTAGTCACAAAGATTACAAAGGAATTCATCTCGAACATTCTCACAGTTAAAAAACGAAAAGCCAGAAACACACTTCAGGTCCTGGGGCTCATCATCAATCCCAGGTCTCTTATTTTTTCAGAGGAAGAACCTGAGATGCTCAGAGAGGTTAGGGAATGTGCCCCAGGAAAAACATCAAGGGAGCAGCAGAAGCTGGAGGAAGGCCCACCCGTGAGGAGAAAGGTGAGAGCCTCTCATCTCCAGGGCTCCACCCAATCTAAGTCACAGACTGAACGTGGGACCCTCTTCCTGCTTGAAAGGTTGCAAGATGTATATTGCCGGAGGCTCATCCTTTCCTATGCCCTGGGTTCTCTCCGTGGTGCTAGTGAGGACCTGGCTGGTGCTTCTGTGGATGGGAGATGCAAGCTGCCACCATGCCGATGGAACTGAGGGCATCCCTGCCCCAACAGGGATGAGCAGGGACAGGAGGTGACCACTGGAGGCAAGGAGTGGAAATTCTGCCCTGACCTCTGGCTCCCAACGGGAAGAGGAGCCTGAATGGGCCCTGGGAGCCGCCCGCCTGACTCTCAGATGGGAAGCCCAGTTCCCTGTGGTTATCCCTGAGCAGCGGCTGTCATACACATGGCTCCAAGGACACACAGGTAACTGTCAGAACTCCTGGGGTGAGGATGAGTTGAGGCCCCAGGCCACCCACAGGGCTGGGTTGGGAGTCTGAAGACAAGGGCTGAGCGTGTGCTGGGACAACAGCGCTGGGTCCACGCTCTGGGGCTCTTTAAGAAGGGAGCTGGAGGTAGCGCCAGCCAGGAAGATGTCCTCAACTTCTGCCACGGCAGCACTTTCCTCCTGATAAGGTCATGGACAGCAGGAACCGAGGAGGTGAAGGTAAGGTTGGGGCAAAGTGGCTGCCTGAGGATTTTATTTCCTTGCACTTATTACCTGATTCCAAATGCAAACTCCATCAGGCCACAGATGCGGGGCTGGCTCGCTCCATATATATGAGCTGTGCCTCTATTGTGATATGCTCTTCTTTAAAAAAAATTTTTTTTCACTCCCTCGGGCATCTCGAGGGGTTGGAACATGTGTATGGGCTGGTGCTCCCACCCATATAGAAACAACACTAGGGAGTGGAGGGAGCCCTGGATGAGAGGGAGGGCAGTGGGATGGGGGGGTGGTTCTTTCCTGATGAGACTTCTGGCAAATCTTCCCCCTCCACAGGCTGCCCCTCCGGCCAGCTTCTCAATCATCTTTGAATAGCAGGCCCTGCGTTTCCTTAAGTTTTGGGCTCCACACATTTTAGAGTCGGTCCTGCACCCACTGCAGGCATCTTCAGCTCTGGCAGGTCCGAGGGTGCCAGCAGAGGTCCTACCAGGGCCGGGGGCAGGTGTGTGCATGTGCCAAGGCCCTGCCCACGCTCCTTCCCGCCAGTGCCCACTGGGACTCCCGGAGAGCCAGCAATGACGCAATGATGTCCAGAAGCCACTCTGAGCAGCGGGCCCTCCAAAAGACTGTCCTCACCTCACAACGGGCAAGAAATTCTTCCCATGCCCGTCACAGATGAACCGCCACCCCATCTCTGCAGCCCCGCACCTTCCTTTCTCCCTTCTGGAAAAAGGGAAGAGGCTTCACCCACAGCAATAGGGATCTGGTTAGAAATGGAAGAACTTTTCCCACCGCGTCCTCCGGGGCTTCACCTAGAAGACCAAAGTCCTGTGTTTCAATCCCACCTCTGCCATTACCAGCCCTCCCTGCTCGGCTGTGAGAGTTAATGAGACGGGACCAGTGCAAGCCCCCAGCACAGGGCTCGACACACAGCAGATCAAAAAATACTCTCATTTGTTAATTTTCAAAATAAAAGGAAAACAATATCACCTGGGGGCAACTCTGGAATCTCCCTGGATTATGAACTCTCACACTGAACACCAGCTGGCAAATTCAAATGGGCATCGCCCACCCTAAAATAAACAGGTAACAGTGCTCTTCTGAACAATCACATTCCCATCTGGATACAGCAGACAAAGAACAGAACTTGAAACCAATAGTCCTGAGACCCTGCTCAGCCGTGGGTCTCTCAGTTAGCTCCTCTGAGCCTTGGTTATTTTGTCAGCCAGACGGAGATGATGGAAATGCTAACAATAAGAGTTAACATTTATGCGCAATTGACTAGATGCTTGGTATTACACTCTCCAGGCAATCCTGTGAGGAGGTTCTATGATTACTCCCATCTTACAGATGAATAAACTGAGGCTTAAGGAAGTTCAGTGATTTTTCCCAACATCTCAACAACCCTCCAGGGGCTGCTTCGAAGGTCAAATTAGGACCGGGGGACCATGGGTGTGGCGGGAGGAGGGGTGGCTGTGGTACTGGGACCAACATGATGTTTGCAGTGATGGTTGGTACAGGGGTAGCAGCGGTGACATGGAAGATGCAGGTGAAAGTCAAGCTTGGAAACCGTAAAGCTAGATCAATGCAATGTGGATGATGACAGAGGATAATCCTGAATTGCCCACCATGAGCCTCGCCTTCCTCTCACTCCCTAGGCTCTGACTCCCCAGCAATGCAGCGGACAAAGCCAATCGGTCCACACCTACATGCTCCTCCTTTTTCTCCCTGCTTCTCCCCTGCTCCCCACCCTCCACGGCTGCCATCTCTTCCCTCATAAATACCAGTGGACACCACTGTTGTCCACCCAGGGCTCAGCTCTCCCATTCTGAGGATGCTGTAGAGAGATGCATTAGAAGCCAGATTACCAGACGCACTCAGGACATCCCCCTCCTTCTCCCAGACCCACCAGTGACGATTCCCACTCCACTCCTTCTTCCCTTTCACTCACTCGGCCTTCTCCAAACAGGAAAGACATGCAGTCAGCGCTGGGTAACTGCTTCTAATCATAGGTGACAGCAGGAATGTAAATAACACAGGAAACATCTAAATGCGATCCTAGTGGTAAGGAAACGCTGCACACTCACAGCCTCCCTCCCTTCCTCCCTCCCTCCCTCGAGGGCACCGAGGCACCATTTCCTGCCACCCCCTTAGGAAGCTCTGCTCATTAACACCCTGTTAATAGGAACCCCAGAAACCTGAGTTTCCGGAGAACAGAACACTAAGTCATCACCTCCTTTGACTCTGCTACCTCCAGGGAGGACTTTTCTAGATTCCTCCCATTTTTCTGTTTAAAGCAATAAATTTAATATGTGTGTGTGTGTGTGTGTGCGTGTGTGTGTGTGTGTGTGTGTGTGTGTTTTGCAGGGGAAGGAAGAGGCTAAGGGCAGGACCAGAGACCCCTTTGAGAATCTGTCCAAAGCTAGGGATCTTCACCCAACAAAAGCACAAACATGCAACATGTGATTTCAGAGGTTCCTAGACTCCAGGTTAAGACCCATTTTTTGTAAAGTGAATGGGACAGAAGCAGCACAAGGGAAAATACAAGTGCAGCTGCCCTCTGCACACCCCAGAGGCCCCACTGGGCATTTCCGAGGTCGTAGTCACTGCACACCCAATGCACCTACAACAATGTCTTTAGATTGACAGTCTGCTCCTAAAGAATCTCCTTCAATGCAAATTGATAACTCAGTTGAGTAACTGCTGTGAAGAATTTCCACTCAGATCGCTTAGTGCCGAGATTTAGCAAGGGACCAAGAAAGGCAGGATTAGAGAGGTGTATCTTGAATGTGTGTTAGGGGCGGCTGTTTAACTAAACAGGAGTTCCCAAGCCAACAGGAAACGGGTCTTCAAGTATCCAGTACTGACAGTCATTGAGCTACCAAGACCCTCCGAGAATAAAGATCTTCAACGGATGGTCACCTCTACCTGCTTGACTCTGGACTCATCGCTGTAGCTTTTGTCAGTGGGACGGGGATGACAGAGGGAGAGAGGCCAGGAGAGGGTGAAGGCAACCCCCTTACACCGGGAGAATCTTACCTCTGTGCCTGTTGGTGGTTTTATCAAACATCAGCATTGCATCTTCCACCTGCAAAACAAATAAAGAATAAAGGCTGCTTTAGGAGTTTTAAGAAAGTACACAAAGCATTATATGCATACGGGGGTGAGGGGGTAGTGTCCATTACAGAAGTAATAGTTGCTTATCAAAAAATATTTGAAAATGCAAAAAAATAGAAAGAAAGAAAAAAAATGACTGGTCTTTCCACCCCATACAACTACAGTTAACATCTTATATAGTTCCCTTTAGTGTTTGCTTTTTATTTTTTTGAGACAGGATCTCACTCTTGTCATCCAGGCTGGGGTGCAGTGGCACCATCATAGCTCACTGTAACCTCCATTTCCTGAGCTCAAGTGATCCTCCCACCTCAGCCTCCAGAGTAGCTGGGACTACAGGCGAGCACCACCATGCCCAACTAATTTTTTTTTCTTCTTTTTCCTTTTTTCGTAGAGATAGGATCCCATTATGTTGCTCAGGCTGGTCTCGAACTCCTGGGGTCAAGTGATCCTCCCAAAGCGCTGGGATTATAGGTGTGAGCCACTGCTACTGGCCTAGAGGTTTTGTTTTAAGAAAGAAAAAACTATGCCTATTTCAATATAATTTAAATCATAGTATATGGAATTTTTCCATGTTTTCACCTGTAACATTACTATTGGCAAACAATTCCCAGGCTAGTACATCGGGTATACTATCTTGACCAGTGCATGATATTTCCCAGTGTCAGAAGCCACGGCTTACTTAATTATTACCCGTCTAACGGATATATGAATTGTTTTTAGTGATAAACAGTGAAACTTGAACATCTTGATTGCTATGGGCTCAACTGTGTCTCCCAAAATTCATAGTTGAAGTCCTAACCCCCAGTACCTCAAAATGTGACTGTATTTGGAGAGAGAGTCTTCAAAGAAGTAATTAAGTCACAATACAATCATGAGGGCATGCCCTAATCCAGTATGACTGGTGTCCTTATCAGAAGAGATTGGGACACAAACAGGGAAGATCATGTACCAACACCCGGAGGAGACAGGACATCTGCGAGCCCAGGAGAGATGCCTCAGAGAAAGCAACCTTGCCCCACCTTGACCTTGAACTTCCAGCCTCCAGAACTGTGAGAAAATACCTTTCTGTTGTTGAGGCCCTCCAATCTGCGCTATTTTATTATGACAGTACTAGCAAACAAATGCATTGAGGCTGGGACCTTTATAAAAACATCAAAGAGGAGAACATAAGAAAATACCAAAGGCATCCTCTGTCTCTCTTTGTGAACCCTTCCGGACCCCTCCCACGCATCCTGCAACCCTCCTGGATATTTCTGGCAATGGGATTTCAGGGTCCACACTCAACTCCCACATAGAGTTCAAGGAACTCACACTTAATGAACCAGATTCCGCTCTGGAATGCACTCCTTTTATGAGTACGTACGACCCACTCCTTTATCCCACAAAGTACGCATCTTCAGCACAGGTGTTTGTCCTCAGCCTTCAGTGACTCACCGGGGGCAGAGCACCTGGTCTGACCAGTGTGCAGCCTACTCTCTTCATTCACTTTGTGCCCAAGGTTAAGGGTAAAAATACAACCCAACCCATGTGGCTGTGGGTGGGTAAAATCGTTAGCAGAGGGCCCTGTCCTCGGAGCAGTTTCAGTGTGCGCCTGTGTGTGAGGACGGAGCATCGCTGATGGGCACTCAAAGGTTCACAAAGGAGCTTGGGGGGCCAGCGCTAATCCCTTTGAGAAAAGGAATCATGGGCTATTCATGCCTCACTCCTCCCAGAAGACAATCTCCAATGGAGAGGAAGACACTGAGCAAAGCAATAAACCAAGGTTTAAAATGGTGCCTGCAGACAAATCAAATGTATTTTCCTAGACGCGATCAAATATAATAGGGGGAAGAGCAAAGTCAAGGTAAGAATGGAAGACGGGGGTAGGGAGACCGGTCAGAAACCTCAAAGGGACTGGCCTGGCTTAAAAATCTCTTCTCAAGTCAGGGCCCCCTTTTGTTGCTAAGCAACCGGGCCTGAACAAACGGGCTCCTGGGGCCCTCCCCTTCTGCTCCCCATCTCTGAAGTCAGTTACTGGGAGGAAAATGGCCTGGCATGGTGGCTCCTCCAGCAGGGAGCTGCCCTCTCTCTCCCGGCACCAGGATGGTGGGAGTGGGGAATGCTAGTCTGGAGATCTCTTAAACAGGGTCTCCTTTACCAGACCCTTCCACCCTGTCCCCATCCCCATCCCAGGCAGAACAGACACCTTTCAGGGGGGGCTTTACGAGCACCCCCCCCACCCCGCCCCACACCTGCTGGGGCCACACACACAACAGCCGTTCCGCCTCCCATGCACCACACACTCAAAACCAGCAGAAGATCAACTGGTGTGTCTGTACACAGAGCAGTCACACTCAGGCGTATGGTATCTCAGACTCAGACCCGGGACTCCATAGGAATTTGAATGTCTGGGGGGCAGGTGGGTGGGGGGTGAGGCCTGCCGGGTATCATGCAGGTAAATGGGACATCTGTTTCCCACCCATCTCCATATTTTCTAAGACGTTTGCCAAATCCTTATTTTGAACTGAAAACGCCTAACAGTAAGGAAAACAGCCGCCCTTCTGTGCTGGCCATGTTTTGGTACTGGGACTCAGATTCCCTTAGGAAATAAATGTTTTGGATTTTTTTTTTTTAATGTATTTTCAAAACCTCCTTTCAACAGTGCATAATTGGCTCCCCTTCTCCTTCCTAAGTTTGGATGTTTTCTAATACTGCCCTCTCCACATTTGCTCCACCCTGGGGTGCGTGGGGGAGGATCTGTATATGTTTTTAGGGCAGCCATTGTCGTGAAGAATAGAGCTCCTTCCTCTGTAGTCCAGCCGTACAATGGGGCTCGCAAAGACCTCCTGAATAGATAAAGTGTCAGGGCGAAAGAAAAATTCTATTAACACTTTACAAAATACAACATCTAAGAAGGAGCTAGAGAGGAAAGAGAAAGGGAAAAAAAATCAATACGGATAAGTCCCAGTGCTTGGGGGTAGAAAACTTTTCAGCAATTGCAAAACACTTATTAATTCAGAGAAGCCATCAATGCGATGGAAATCTGGCAGAACAGCAAGAGCTGAAACTAGAAGAATTTGAATATACAAAGACTGAATAGAATGAAAAACACAGCCTCACATACGAGACTGTTTCTCACGGTTCTATGTGAATCAAACAGAAGCAGCTTGTGTGAGTCAAGGGAAAGTGAGGGGCACAGTTAAGGTAACTGGTATTCAACCCTGGAGCCAGCACACTGGTAACTCTGTCTCTGTCTCTGTCTCTGTCTCTCTCTCTCTCTCTCTCTCTCTCTCTCACACACACACACACACACACACACACACACACACATATAGACACATAGATCAGGCCAAGCCTCATTCAAGATGCTAGGAGAACTCAAAAGCTTAGGGAAAGCTGGGAACAGGATTTTTTTTCTAACCCCTTATGAAACACCAGCTGTAGGGATACCACCCTCATCCTTATGATGACCACTGGTGCTTACTTCGTGTTGACAATGTGCTCACCGGCCTTTCAGAGTCCTTTGTAACCAAAATGGGCACACGCAGGCCTAGTGGCTCCCCCAATGGAGAGAGGAGGCCAGGAGGTGTCTGAACCTTGGCATGATTTGTCCCATCCGGCACACGCCTGGTCTGTTTTGGGAAAAGAAGCTTATTCTAGCCCTGAGCTGTGACTTGCAATAACTTGGGGCAGGTCTGAGACATAGCCCTGACCTCTTTAGTGGTGAAAAAGCAAAATAGGCCAGATGTGGTGGCTCATGCCTAGTAATCCAGCATTTTAGGAGACTGAGGTGGGAAAATCGCTTGAGGCCAGGAGTTCAAGACCAGGCTGGGTAAAACAGCAAGACTCGTCTCTCTCTTAAAACAAACAAACAAACAAACAAAAACAACTAAAAACTTAGGCAGGCATTGTGGTGCACACCAGTGGTCCCAGCTACTCAGGAGGCTGAGACGGGAAGATCGCTTGAGCCTGGGAGGTTGAGGCTGTAGTGAGCCTCACTGCACTCCAGCCTGGGCTACAGAGTCAGATCCTGTCTCAAAAACAGACACACACAAGAAAACAAAATAGGCAAAAAAAAAAAAAAAAAAGTAACATTGAGGTGAGCTGGTGGGGAATGGGATTCCTCTGTCTTTGTTCCGACACTTGAAGGTACTGAACCTCCTTTGACTACAGCACAGTTCAGACTACACTGTAATATCCTCAGAAGTGTGTGACCGCCGACAAAGGGGACCTCATCTGTTCGTGTCTATGGCTGCTGGAGTTGGGGCAGAGATTCTCAAACATCATTCACATCAGAATCATCATCAGAGGGACTGTTAAGCCACAGACCTCTTGGGGCCCCACAGCCAGAGTGACTGATTCAGTATTCAGTAGTATTTGCATTTCTAATAAGCTCCCAGGTGATGCTGATGCAGCTGCTGGCCCAGAGACCTCAGTTTTCATGAGCTACTCTAAGGGATAAGAAGTAAGAGCAAAGGTTAAAACCACTGGGCAGAGGGTGCTTCTTCCTCTTTAACATACACTCAGTGGTCAATACATGAAACAAAATTTCTCATCCAGGAGCAACTCATCCATTTTGGTGTAGCAAGTTCTCCCTCTCTTTGTTCCCCTTCTCTCAGAGGTTTATATTCTAAAATCCTAAACATGATGGTGGTAACCCACGGAAAAGATGATAAGAAGAGGGACTTCTTAGTGGCCACCAACCTACCCTGCACTCAATGCAAGAAAAATGCAGATTCTACTAGGATGACATAAACTTTCCTTCTAACAGACACACTTATTGACAGAAACTCATGTCTAGAACATGCAGCCAATCCAATCTTGAATAGAAAACTTAGCAAATGGTAACTCTATTCACTTTTATGCAACACACATGTATGAAGCACATCACTTATTTGCAAAACATCAGCCTAAGTACAAATAAAAGATGATTCACACAGGTCTAGGGTAGACTGATGACATGAATGGTCTTGCACCCTGTCCTCTGTAAGT